AATCTTTAAAGCACACCCTGCTTCATCATCCTCAATCGCTTTTAACTAGAGTGTAGTTTACAAAATGAATATCGTGTTGTATTCAAAAAGCCCCCAAACTGCAGATTGAGATCATTAGTATATGCGTGTAGTGTTTACTGTGGTTGTATCTTTGAGATATGTTTACCATAGACTTTTCCACAGTCTTATTTCTTTTTACTCTCAGAGCTGTTGTCTCCTGCTGGAGTTTAAGAAGAATGCTTCAAAATGAGTTAGCATTTTCTACTTCTGGTTTCCTTAGCCTGAAGTTAACATTTTAATTTTTTTAGAGGCTTTTAACTTTTGTGATCAAAACACACAATATCTTGATCTATAGGATGTATTTCAATAAATACACAATCATGAATATTGAAGCCTTAAGTGTTTTTGTAAAGGCGTTCACTAACAAAGGACCATGGAGACATTGAGCACAGGGTCGTAGTGAAGTCATACAACTGTCATGTAGTAATTTTCTAACCTAACATTGGTCTTTTACTTTAGGGATTGCAATTATGTGTTAAAAATCAGGGTGGGCTAGAAAAACACATCATTCCTGCAGCGGTCTATATTACAGATAAATGCTACTATTAAATGGGGGGAGATTTTGGCAACATTGTATCAATAATTAATACAGGGACACCAGATATTAATATTTTATTAAATAAATTTAAATACTCTGGGAATACTATGAACAACAGGGGTCATCTCACCATCCTGAGATAACAATAATTCGGCTTAACCAAAAAAGTCATCCAGCACTGGACACGAGTAAAAACAGGGCAGCAGGAAAACTCTGTAAACGGCTGCAGCCTAATTTCGACAAATTTGGATCAGCGCAGTTCATGTAATCCAGCTGTTGTTCAGTGTAAGGGAAGTTAGACTTTTTTTACAGTTAAAATTAAAATTGGGATTTTTTTTTATGCAATCAAGGGCTTGATTTGGAATTATTAGTATGGAAATGGAAGGAGATTAATTCAGAAGATCTTTAAAATAAAGATTGTTTCAACACATTACTTGAAATATATGAGTTTTGTGTGAGGCTGGAAGAAAGCAGATGGGCCTGCCTGAGAGTCTCGGGCAGGGATGGTAAAACAGCTTCGCAGCCCTGACAATAAAGTTTCTTTCATGCAGCAGACTATTTAGAGAGACACTGAGAGAATAAACATTAATTAACTGGGTCACATTGTTGTAAACAGACCTGGTTAGGTAGCAACTTAGCTAAAAAACTGTGCTTAATTATTTTCTCCCCTTAAACTTTACAAAGAGATTGTGGTCCTTTTGTTAGAAGGCAGTGCACACTGATGACTCATCCGCTCTCTGTGAGTGAGTCATATTTCACTGGCACGGTACTAATGTTAGCCACAAACCATGTGCCAGGCTGGTTTGGTTTGATGAAGACTAATTCTCGGCATTCCTTTCTTCCCCCACTCCTTCTTACCGTACCATTTTCCCTTCATTTCTACACTTTCTTCTTCTTCTTCTTCTTCTTCTTTTTTCTGAATTGTTTCAGTCATTCATAAAAGTGTGAAATCATAAAAGTGATTTCACACCTTCTCCATCACCAGCCAAGCTTTCATCTTTGTTGTTCTGCCTGTTCTGTCTCTTCTTTTCTCTCCTGTGTCTCAGTGTCTTTGTCTCAGTCTGCATCAGCTCTTACTCTTCCTTTCACCCTCTACATCTTTGTTGTTACAGGCCGTGTCAGCGTTCCTTCTTTGTCGCTGTCCTGACAGTGAAACAGTGCCCCTCTTTGCCCAGCCCTGAGCAAATAATGCTGCTACATCTCAATCTCCACTCTTTGATTTTGTCCAATAGAGATTCCTGCCGTCAGCTTTACGGGCTCACATGTGTTTTTACATGTGCTTGTGCTTGGGCTGTAATGGTCCTGAACCATTTGGCTTGCACAGTTCAGTTTGGTATGACATTTCCTCGCTTTTATACAGCCTGTGAGTCATACTGTTACTGAAATATAGAAGTCTATTTTTGCCGGCATACTTGGGTTTCTGGAACAGACATTTGAGGCTTTATCTGTAATCATCTGTTATCAGCTGCTGATAGACAGCCTTAGCATGCTAACAGGAGTGGTTGTGAAAGATGGACAGTACTTCCACTTTTACTGAACATTTATGCCTTCATTTACACACAAACAAGTTTGGTGTGTGTGTGTGTGTGTGTGTGTGTGTGTGTGTGTGTGTGTGTGTGTGTGTGTGTGTGTGTGTGTGTTACTTGGTTCTCAAAATTTTTTGGACCTGCCCCACTTCAGAAGCTGAAAAAAGTTCAAGCAACACACTGATTATTGATTATGAACCACTAACTAGCTTAGAGTTCTCTCTTATAAACAGTAGGCTTGTTATGACAAACTAAATACCTGCACCCAAGACAATACTTGATATTTTAAAAAAGGGTCATTAGTGTCTCCATAGCATAGTGGTTAAAACATTGGCTTAGTGAAGTGAAAGGTTACTGATATTTTATAAAGGGGTAATTATTTCTCCTAGGTCATGCCAAAAGTATGGCACTGGGTGTGTTAACATTTACAATAACTGTTTAATACTTCTGTGTTGATGTAACAGGAGATTTACTGGCCTCTTCAATTCCTCTTTAAGAGTTGTTTAGTGTTGTGAACGTCAGCTGGTTCAACTGTTAGTGAGGGAGGGGCTGTGTGTCTGCAGTAGTACCGTGTCAAGTCTGCTGCTATCATTGCTGTCGCAAATGGGTGTCTAACCTGATAATAATTCTTAGTTTTGAATAGTATCTGAACCTGTTTTAATGGAAAGTAGCAGCTTTTTTTGGCCTTAATGTTACAGGAAGAACTGGAATAGCCAACTGCAGTGAAAATGCAGTGCCATGATCCCAAAACTGAAGCACATACCAAAAGTGTTTTTTTGTTTTTTTGTTTGTTTTTTGCTTGTGTGATTATTACAGCTTAATCAACATACTGGCCTATCACAGATGTAATAGTTTTGCCGTATCCAGGAAACCACATTTTCATCTATTGAACCAGATGTTTGGTGACCCTGGTATATTTTTACAGCCCAGAGCTTAATTCAATTTACTGCTCAGATGTCTCTTTTAGATAAAACTGTGAAAGCAAAAATGCTCATATTGTTGAGCCCTGCTTACTATCATCAAATCCTGTGTTATGTTTTCCACAACACTGTTGACCCGAGGAACACTATAAAAATATAAGTAATTCAGACTTTACTGATATCAAACCCTTCATGCCACCGCCACTGTCTCCACTACATGTAGCACAGCAGGCATCATAGCCGAGCAGGGCGATGTTGTGGCGAGGCGATGTGTGAGCTTTGTTCCAGTAAATTTTCTTCTTCTTCTGCTTCTTTTGACTTGTTTTACACTCTAAGAGACTATACTAATTATATGAGTCAGTATATTTATATGGGAATTTCTTACTCTGACATTCTGACATTTTTGAATTATTTTTGTTGGTGTCGAATCATCCAAAACAAATTCTTTATACAGCTGTTTATAAATGATTCCAGTACAGTACAAATGGATAACTGGTGGATTTCCACACTGTTTGGGAGACTCTGTCATTTCACTTTTTCATCTTTCATTTGGACTAAATGGCTGAATGTGATGCACTTGTCACTGTTGTCCTTCTTCATGATTGAGGCAGATTTATTTCTGTGGGAGCTGTGCAGTTTGTGCTGCCTATTCTTGATGAAAAGCCGCTTTTGTGTCTTTCTGCACCTGATTCCCACAGGACCTGAATCAGGCTTCTCTGTCTCTGACGGGGGGGGGATGTTGTCATCCTCACATTTGTACATTATTGGCTTTCCATACTGCACATTCTCATGGAGGAATCAGACCTCAATGACAGATCCTGTGAGCAGTGCAAGGGTGACCAAGGCAGAACATGTTTTCTCAGCAGCTCTTTAGAAGTGAGATGCTTAGAAATTAAATGAAAGGCCTCAAATCAGTCACGCGGGCATTCCAAGACAAAAACAGCTCTCTCAGTTTACAGCATGAACAGACTATTGTAAGATGTAATTGGGTTTTAGATCAAGCGGACTGGATGACAAGCCCCAAATAAGGAAAGTAAACCTACACAAGAATGTGGGCCGCAGTCAAACACGGCTGCAGTGTTTCAGTGGAATGAGCAAAAGAGGAGGGACATCTTGGTGCAGCAGTGTCCTCTGTGTGGGGTGGGGGTCGGTGATGTTCAGGAGGAGAATTGTGCTGAGCTAGGCTCCACTGAGATGCCACTTAAAGTGTAAGGGAGGCTTTAGGGGAATTAAGTTCAAAATACTCCCCCTCTCTACGCTCTTAGCTTAAGCCTCTTGACGTATTAAGAAGAAAGAAATGTAAATGTGTGTTTCCTCAGCAGCAGGTCCAGGCTGCTTGCACTGTTTAGTCTAAATAAACATGACCCTTGTTTTTCTGTTTTGTTCTTATGATGGGATCTGCAGATTAGATTGTTAGACATGATGGGATTTAAAAAGAGCTCTTACCTGTCACATGCTACAAGAGCCCCTCCATCTAATTTAAATTTAAACAGCCTGGTTGTTTGATAGAGAGAAGAAGGTGCAAGTTACAAAAAATAAACAGATTTAATATGCATCTTCATAGGAAAGATGTATTGGAAACGTAGCTGTCTCTGCAACAGAGCAGTTTCAGTATGATGGTGTGTTTTCCTTATTCACAGTAAACAGAACAGGCTGGCTGTAGCAACCACCACAGGGGCTGCAGGGCGTCGTCAAGTACAGTGTTGCTGTTATTGGCTGTTTACATCAAAACGGTGTGGCTGCTGATATTTACTCTTTTCTCTCTTTCAGTCTTTCACCCCCTCGAGTCTTGAATCAACAGACGAGCAGAGGGTGACAAAACTAGAGAAAAAGTATGTAAAGAGTTTGTGTGGTGTTGTTGAGCATGTTTGCTGGACAAAGTTTGTTTGTAAAGCAAGGTCATGATTTGTAAGTAATTATATTAAACAACAACAACAAGGCAATCGCCCATTTTTTTTAAAGTGAGGGTTTCGGCGCGCATGTGTCCTCGTGCATCAGCTTCCTGTCTGTTAGATGCACAGACGCAGCTTCCCTTTTTGTCATCTTCTGCCGCTCATTTCAGTTGCACAAGTCTGCAGTGATCGCATCCCCGGCTAATGACATCAAGGCTTTTATTGGATGTCAGCTCTGATTGCGTTAAAACTTCCGAGACAGGAAGGCTGCTTTCATGAGAACAGTCAGAAGCTAAAAGAAAGGATCGCAGAGAGAATCTAAAGGCTGGTGGATTTCCTGGGGGCCTCTACTTGTCACTGAGCTGAGAAACGCCCCGTGCAGCTAGCATTTCTAACTTTCAGCGTCCTGTTACTGTCGAACGCCTCGTTTTGTCTGATTGTCTGGAACTGTAGCTGCAGGTATGTACTGGTGCTCTTCTTTTGGTCTTATCAGTGATGTGCAGCAGGAAAGAGGGTTAATGTGGAGTTGAATGTTTTGACCCCATCGTCAGAGCACTGCTCGTGTTTTGTGTTTCTGTAATGAATTGAATGTGTAACAATAAACTTGCTGCAGGAGTTGTCAGGCGGTAAAGCTGCTGCTAATTATCCGCACTGTAAGAGCACATCGTTGACCAATGGGATCACTTAGCTTAAGATGCTTGTTACATAATCTTTACGATGCCTGCCGTGCTGAAAGTTAACCTCATAGATGTTTTGTAACAACATAGAGCTGTTCAGATCCTTCTCGCTACCTGTGATAGTCTCTGAAGATTTTCTGAACTTTAAGTATGCGGGGTCTGTTAAGGTATGCATCTGTGTGTGCATGTGTGTCTGTCTATCATGTATTCTATACTGTAAATGTGTCTGCACTGTAGCGTAATGAAAGTGTATGTCCTTGTTTTTTAAGCTTTGCATGTACAAATGCCTTCATGGTGTTTTGGGGGGTTTATATTTACTCTGTAAATCTTGGTGCTGTTGAGTGTTTGTGCAGCAGGACCGATTAGCTGGATTACAGGCAACCAAGATTAACCAAAAGAGCATCTGTCAGTGACATACTACTAATATTACTTCTACCACAACTACCGCATCACTATTACTGCTACTGTGCGTTTCACTGTGCTGCTGCTTTACTGTTTTATTGTAATAATAATGCCACATTCTTAAAGGTGAACATATGGTCTTATTTATTTAATGTGATTACAGGAAATATCATTACTGAAACATGCAAGTCCTAAAAGATGCATTGAGCTGCCAGTTTGACTTACTGGGGTCACCAGTTCTTGACTCCCCGTAGAGATATTTATGAAATGAACGAGAGAAAAGTTGATGTGAAAATGAAAAAATGTGACCGAGGCAAAAAAAAAGAAAGAAAACATTGCTCAGACATAGCAGATGGAAATAGCCACTGCAGTCATTCACTGGTTTGTGAAGTCCCATTTTGAATTTGAATTGGCATTATAGTATTCAGTAGAGCAGGGCGATATGACCAAAAATATTTATCACGATATACATTTGAAAATTTGCGATAACGATATAACTGACGATAGGGCTGCTCGATTATGGCAAAAATGATAATCACGATTATTTTCACTGAAATTGAGATCACAATTATTTGACGATATTTATTTAACCCTTTAAGACCTACTATAGAACCAAGTCCACCAGAGCTTATATTATTTTTTTTACATGCTGTAGTGCCATTTGTGGGAGCATTTCAAGTTGCTATACAACTGTTATAGCCCATATTTTACTAATATGTATGCATTAAGTCCATAGTAACTACATTAATTGCAAAAAAGTGCAATAAACTACAAAAAAAATTGAAAATCGCTTTTGTTTTGTTTACATATATTTCTACTTGGAGAAATTTAAGAGGTTTATCCCTCAAAACTTTAAATACAATAAAGTTGCAAAAAATAGTTTACAACAACAGGAAATTTATTTTGAGTGTCTTCATAGTTTTATTTTGGAGATACAGCAATTTTTATATATTGCAGGAAAAACAAAAAACAATCCTATGATGCAAATTTGCAAAGAAAACAGCAGGTGCATCATTTCACTGTGGGAAGTGTTACGAACAGCTGATAGGAACGGCAAAGCGTGTTTCTGGAATATTATGTTTTTGTTGCTGCAAGCGCTTTTTATGCAATTTTTGCAAAGCTATATGTGGAACAAAACCGTGACCGAGGACAAGCTGATGTCATAAGATGTAAGTACAACTCCTCCGGTTTCATATGCAAAACAAATTATTGCGCTAGCTTACACGGTTCAGGTTCTACAGGGATATAAAAATAGTTACGCAAAACGGAGCATGCTGCTCTGACCGGCTTTAAAGGGTTAACAATGACTTTAAAAAAATAATATAACATAGTGTGCAACACCACTGAAGTTTTTTTTTAAACTCTCTTTTCAACCAACGGCAGTCACTCTCCAAATAACTTCTGCTTAGCTTTCCGAGCTTCCCTCGGGTCCTCTTAATCAGCGGTCTCCAACCTTTTTTGCGCCACGGACCGTTTTATGCCCGACAATATTTTCACGGACCGGCCTTTAAGGTGTCGCGGATAAATGAGGGAGGGGCTAATAATCGGCTCAGTCATTTTTAATGATCGTTGAAAGCCCAGATCATAATCGTGATTAAAATTCGATTAATTGAGCAGCCCTAACTGACGATATAATTGACACTAGACAAAACACTTTACAACTCCACAACTTTATTAGTGAAAAAAAAACCCATCAATGTATTTTCACTTAAACAAGCAGCTGTTTTTTATGTGCATTAAAGTTATATAAAAATTTAACAGTGCAAATGCAAATGCCTTGCTGACAGTTCCTTGCTGGAAAGGCATTTCCAGTGGAAATTGGCCGGCATATCCTCAGCATAACCATGTATAATATCCACAAAACTTAAAAAGAGGTTATACACACACAATATGGTAATATTATGTTGAAGCACAGTACATATCACTCCGCGAGGCTCCTGCCTACGATAGCCGTAATGCTCCAACAATCCATCAAGCGGTGCGGGTTCGTAGCTTAGCAAAGTCGTACTAAAACGTCTGACAGATTTTCGAGCGCCGTGTACCACATAAAATCGTTTCAAGGTCAGTAAACACAACCAGAATTCATACATAAGGCACACGGGATTATAAGGGGCTCTGTCGATTTTCAGAAAAATCAAAGGATTGATTTTAAGTGTGCTGTATTTTCCAAACACCACGGTAATAACGGCGGCCCGCTAGCATGCGCTACCAAAAACAGTGCTCTGTTGTGTATCTGATGGACGAAAGCTAAACCAGTTCCACACCAGTGAAGTTGCAGCATTTTTACAAACCAATTCTGATTCATCCGTTTTATTCAACGATCCGCTTTTGCTCTTCTCATTCTCTGTCACCGGCACGCTTTTTCCGCCATGTGCGTATGAAAACAAAGGCACTGCGCATATGCGTTTTACCCATATTCTATGGCGATATTTCATTTTCTTATCATTGCCCAACATTATACCGGTATTACTGTGAACAGTATGATATGGCCCAGCCTTACTATTCAGTCTCTGTGTGTTCTGGAGCTAGAATTGGGTGTATTTGAATAAGAGGGTGAGTTTATCAGCAAGCTTCATTAGTAAGCTGTGCCCAGAGGCGTATTGGAGTAAAGATTATTTGATGGTTACCACGCAGCAAGTTGTTTGTCAGAAAGTTGAATTAAAAATGCTCCAAAGGGCAACAACACCACAGACTTCTGTGGGAGGTCCAATTCAGTGGCTCAGAATTGGACCTGACTCCTAGCGGAAAGCTACTAGCCCCCTACTACATCACTGTTCTATATGTCTTTCATATTTAAAACTGTCTTTAATTCTTGAAACTGTTTGATTGTGCTTTACTCTACACCTTCACATATAACACTGAAGTCTTCCACAGTATCTGTACATTGACAGTCACAGTTTATCTTTTCTCATCTTTTTCTTGCAGATGATTTCTAACTTTTAAGCCAAGCATATTAAGTTATATAGAAGAGGCACAATCACTAATTATATTACTAATTATATTGTGGGCAATTTCTTGGTTAGCGATGGTGTATTCACTCTATCTAAATTAAGCTGGCAAATGAGGTTACTGTAGGTGAAAACTGCAGTTTTATGTAGGCCTAAGGATTATGTATTAAGAGTAGCTGAAAGCAATCTAAACACAATGCAGCAGTGTTTGCTGTGGACTTCAAAACACCACACTAAAATCCTATTCCACTGCTCTGACTAGGTCTGCTGATTACAGGGATTATCCAATTTCAGTAACTCTGTTATGTATATTGAGTAAATTGAGACTTACTATCTTTCCCTGTCTGTGTGTTTCAGTCATGTCTCGCAGAAGTTCTCGCCTGGTTTCTGGTGGCTACTATAATTCAGATGAAGAATCTGACTCAAGCAGCGTGACCAACATATCTATATCCTACCGTGAAAACCCTGTTAAGTAAGTTACTGGTTTCTGTGCCCTTGTGCTTGAAGCTTTTTTTCTACATTCTGATTGTCAGTCTGTAATGTAACCCTGCCTTTCTCTCTTACCAACTTTTTCTTCTTCAGGGTTTTCAAGAAGAAGGCCGGGACCCGCAAGCCCGCCTCCCGTACCTCCAGCAGAGCCAACAGCAATACTAGCTCCGCTGCCCCTGACACACCTGTCACTCCAGGTCAGTATGCTGCGACGGTGCATAAGTGGTAATGACATAATATCACAATCTGAAAGTTTTCAGAGTAGGTTAAAGAGAAAGTTTCCAAACTGTTGCCTATAACAAAGCTTTGGATTACTTCTAACCCCTTATCGGTATTTTACTGACTGTCAATTATTTAGTTACTCTTTGTAATAATGGACACAGATGGAGTATTGGTGTAAGGAACCTAATTTATTTATCTCATTTTCTGCTTCTTTCTCTCATCTGGCTCTTAGTCCCATCTCCATTAACCATTGAGAGCCAACCTGTCATGAGGACCGTATCTTTCACCCCATCCACAGCCACCCCGCGGCCTGCCCTGACCCCATCATCATCATCAACCCCGAGGCAGACACCCCCTCATTGCCACCCAGCATCTCCAGGAAACAGCTCTCCTGCAGGGCACTGCAGCTCTAGCAGGCCAGGATTACAGTTTAGACCCAGCCATAAGGAGCTGAGTCAGAGTGGCGTGGACAGCTCAGGGTACTCGTCCTCTGAGGGTACTTACAGGAAGCCCATGGCCGCCCCCTGCAGCACTGGTAGAGTCAGCATTAACACTGGGGATCCCAATACCGGATACAGAAGCAGAATCAAAAGTGCCTTCAACAGCCTTAGCGGTGAGTGTTGAAGTTTGCTTGTGTTTGCGTGTCTTTGCGCTGCCATGTAATAATCTCTTTGTTCGTGTTTGTTCTTTTGACAGACTCAGCCCTGATGCTCGGTGCGACAGTATGTGCAAAAACACATGACGTGGCAGCGTTAGGTATGGTGTTTGTATATGATCATTGTTACTTCTTGTAGCTGAAGCTCAGTATGGATCTACATGTGCCTGTGCATTATATACAGATCCTACATACTTTTTCTTAGTTGCTGCATGTGATTTGGCTCTAGCTTATCAAAATCCCTGCAAATCAACGTTCCTTCTCTTCCCCGCAGCTAATTCTCTAATCAGCAGTCGCATGAAGAAGGCTTGTGGTGTGGCTCTCCTCCTCCTCCTCATCTTACTTTTATGTAAGTAACATAAACGAAATCGAATATATTCTGTGTTTTCAGAAAGCCGCTGTATTTTCTGCTTGATCTACTTTCCTGAAGACAGTACAGTAATCTTCTATGAGCTTGGGGTTTCCCCTCAAAAGTAGGCGTGGTAGGTTCTGCCGCAGAGGGTTCTTAGACTTGCAAAGCAGCACTGCTTAGTCTGCTCCCTGCATCATGTGGTGGGGTTTTACTCCCTTCTCCACCTCATTGTGACTGTATGAGTCACTGTAAATGTCAGTCACTACAAGAGGCTTTCACTGTTGAATATTAGAGTTGGGTGATCTTGCTTTGTGTGCTTCTGAGTGCTGTTGTTCAGGAACTATCCCTTCTGTTTTCTCCAGGTCTTTGGTTGTTCCTTCCCTTGCTCACCTCTTTCATCACCCGCATGAATGTCACAAAGAGCCCATCACAGACACAGCCTGTTGTCCCTGCTACTCCTCCTCCTGCCCAACCCAACAACATCTATTCCAAACCTGTGGTGGTAGGGCTCTGCAACTGACTGTTTTTCTTGCTGGTTAGATTGATGGGTGCTGGATCAATCTAACTGTCTGAGTGACTAAGTAGATTGATTAATTATAAATGACAAACGTTTATAATAGTGCTCAAGCTCAAATCTTCAAGGCCTGCACGAGGGGTTATTTAACAATGCCAAACCACAGCAGCAGTCGTCTCAAGGTGTAAAGTTCAAATCCAATAATACCGAGAGAACTCCAACAGATGGTAGAGGCAGCCATTTGCTCCCAATACAATACATATTTTTAAATGAAATCTTGATATTGTTTAAGTAATGGTAATAATGATATAAATCATTGTGTAGTTGTTTGTTTATATGCAATTGATAGTCCTGTCTCACTATATCCGTGCACTTGTATTTTAAATTTTATTCATTTATCCAAAAAAAAGCAGACAATGAGTTAAAGATGAATTTGACTGTTAGCAATCATTGTTGTTTTCTTCAGTGTAACCTGGTATCATGGCGGCCCAAGCTTGAGATTTGCTAGTGTAGTATTTTCCCAGCACACATTTGTGGATTTTTAAAGGTTCACAGAGTCTGTTTTCTCCACTGTGGGTGGTTTACAAATTGAAAGTGAAAGATCAGCAGTTTGATCCTGAGAGGAGACACAAATCCCTTGGGGGATCATGACGGATCAAAAATCAGCCAGCAAAGCTACCTGCTGTGGTGGTGATGAATTGGAAATAAGAGAGCTGCTGAAAGGTGCTTTTTACTGTATTTTCTTTATAAATCTTTATAAGTGCATCACATTCTCAGTTAAAAGAGTTACAGTTTGAGAACAACGACACTCTCATCAATGTCATTTCTCTCTTACCAAGCTACCTTTGGTTGTTCTCTTATTCACAAGGGGTTGCGACAGCAGGCAGCACCACATGTTTGATTCACAGGATATTTTGCACCAGTTACCCGTCCTGACACAAACCCAAATGCAGCCACCTGCAAATGTGTAAAGCGCTACACTTTGGAGCCCCACTGTTCTCTAACCAGCTAAACAGAGTCAACAAGGGATGGGATTTATGATGTTTATGATCAAAACTTTGAGACTTAGTTGTAAGTCCTTCAAGAAGTTCACCGGTTCAGGGACCTCTCAGTCAATTCTGAAGCATTTTTAAAGGTCAAAAATATATTTAATGTAATAGCTGTTCTGATTAAGCTTGCTGTTATGAGACTCTTAATATGTTTGTATGAAAATTTGGGTTCTTTTTTGTTGCAGTAATAGTTTGTTGTTTTTGTATTTTCAAACAGGATCCTACCATTGTGTCTGCTGTAGTAGATGAAAAGATGCAACGTCTTCTGGTAACAAACCATTTCCTTGCAGTCAGGAGTAAAAAAGTCTGCACCCTCCCTCCACACACGCACATGCACAAACAAAAATTAAGCTGTCTAACCATATCAGAATAAAACAAAGGAAAACTAAAATAAATGCATTGGTGTTACTTTGAGACCTTGCATGTTGATCTATTTTGAGGTGAAAGTGATGTGTTGCATCTGTTACAGGTGGAGCTGCAGATGAAGCAGGAGCTGCTTCTCTCCCAGGTGAGAGAATCTCTTTCTGGTTAACCCTGTGGGTGGTAGAGCTTCTGCCCACGGATGTCAGAAAGGAACACAGGCTAATAGTAACAGGGTCAAAACTCAGGTATGCTAGAGTGACATCTAGTGGTTGACATCTAGAGCAAATGCAGAGGTTTGTTTACTAACCTACAAGCACTCGGGAAGTACAGTTGCTGAATAATTCCCCAAAGGCATAATTTCTGATTTGAAGAGAATTTATTTTAAAGAAATTTTAATTTGATTTAAGGTTTAGAAACAACAAAAAGGCTTTCTGATAAACGGGTAACCATGGTTAGCTTTTAGGATGAACATATATGACTTAAAAACCTGGCTTTAAAACATGAGATCTAAAATTTATGAAAGAGACAGCCTGGTATCTATGAGCTCACTTCACCTATCAGCATGTCATGTTTTCCTTCACTTGTTTTTTCTAACAGATGAAGGAGAGACTCCAGCTGGAAATGCGCGATATGAAGGCCAAGCTTGAGGCCACAGACTCCGACAGTCGGCAGCATCTGGAGCAGCAGGTCACAAGGTTGAGCAGCCGGATGGCAGATTATCAGTCAGACAGCAGCACTGCTGCTGCCAGCCTCACCCTCAGAATCCAAGCTTTAGAGGATCAGAATAATAAGGTAAAAGTCCTGATAGGTTCAACTTATCTATATTTAAAGCAACCGAAGCTTAATGAATGCAGTCTGGAACTTTGCCTGGGTTTTATGCATAGTCTTTTCTCTTGCAGTTGGCCCAGGAGTTGTCATCCATCCAGGTGATGCCTCCTCCAGCCCCCTGCCCTGATCCTACCAACACACCTATACACAATCACCTCACACCTGAGCTCCAACATGCCATGGAGAAGTGGCTCACTGACCGCATCAAGGTAACTAGTAGTAACTGTGTGTGTGTGTGCGCTTATGCTGCTAGATATGAGTTGTTACACCTGTCAATACTTAATAGTATATTCTGTTTGTGAATGTGAATAAGGAGCAGGATGCAATCAGGCTCAGCAGCAGTGGAAGCTGCGCAGACTGTGGACGTCCCATGGCTGATAAAGTGGCTGACTTTGCCCTGGAGACTCAAGGTCAGGAATGTTTGGATAAAGATCAAATTGTTTTTGCTAAAATTCAGTGTGTGCATGTGTGTGTTTGCTGTTTTTGCACCCAAAAAAACACTTTTTAAATATTGAGTTATTGGTTGTTTAATTTATTTGCCTGTTGATTTGTCTTCTGTAATTATTCTAAATGACATTCATGCATCTTGTCATCAGTCATCAGCAAAGATTGTTGTCATTTAATCTTACACTCTATAACATATAGAAGATTAAAAAAAACATTTCAGAACTCTTATTGCCGTGTGTGTGTGTGTGTGTGTGTGTGTGTGTGTGTGTGTGTGTATAGGTGCCAGTGTGATCAGTACCAGGTGTTCAGAGACATACCGTATTCGTTCAGCATGTGTGACCCTGTTTGGTTTCCCTCTTTGGTATCCATCTGAAAGCCCGCGCACTGTCATTCAGGTACAATGACCATCAGTTTGCTTATCTGTTCCCTCATTGTCATTTTACCCTCAGGGCTTTTCACTTTAGACTGTTAGCCCTTTCATTTTTACTAACTACATCTCCCGCTGTCTTCCTCCCCAGGGTTACCCAGTGCTGCTTCCAGGGAAATGCTGGGCGTTTCATGGTGTCCAGGGAACACTTGTGATCTCTTTGTCCCACCCCATACGGATAACTCATGTGACACTGGACCACCTACCACGCTACAACTCTCCCACTGGCCGAATTGACTCAGCACCCAAAGACTTTGAAGTCTATGTGAGTGCTTCCAGTGTAGAAACCGTGTGGGGACACATGACTGCCTGCGCTTGCTTAAAAAAAAAGAAAAGAAAAAGCTGCCTGCAAGTCAACATGAAGCAGGAAAATAACCAGTAGCCAGCAGTCAGTTCATCATTAATGAGAGTTTGTGAGCTCGTGGGTCTTAATGACTCAGCTCAAACATAGATACATGGAGGGAGCAGGGAGGGTACTCGTGGTAAGGAAAGAGCGAACCCACCAGGTCTGTTTGTCCTCAGCCAGAGCATCACGTACTTTTTAGGATATACAGATGTACTACAATATCTGTCAGACGTAAAGATGTGAAATTATACCTCAGAGGCAGCATTTGTGGTTGAGACATTTAAAGCTGCTGCTAAGTCATGCTGGTTCTCAAGTACACATGCTTACACAAATTAACCAAAACATCAGATTGAACTGCACACAGTACACATGTGATCACATTTCCAGCAATAACTCAAGTAACAACACACGCTCTGCATTTGTCCACGGTGACAGCACACACTGGATTTTAAAGCTTTAGCATTTTTGCCTCTGCCATGTTCCATTATTGGTGTCAGAACTAAATGTATATGGATGAAAGCTAGCAAGCATGGTTTGCAAGCTGGATCTTAACCTTGTACAGCCTGAACCATGACATAAAAATATTTTTTATTTATGTATTTATCTATTTTTAAATGGATATTAAATCTTCTGAAATATGAATTGAAACAGTAGAGAAATATCAGTTTGCATATACGAGTTTTCATATGTATCAGTTTAGCTTTGTCTGGAAATTTATTCAGGTGTTTGAAGACAAAAATTCCATTGATCATGTAGAGATTAACACTGTTAAGACTGTTTTACTCACCTTAACTGGACCACAGCTGTTTGTAAAAGTAACCGTGCAGCTTAGATAATTCCATGAAAAATCCACCAAAGGCACCAAAAGAGCACACACATCTCTAAGTTTAAGCCTTTACAGTTAAAGGTTAATACACTCCATACACTTGTTGTAAAGGCCGAAAGTAGCTGCAGGGCAAAACTACCTTTGTACCATTGTGCTGTAAATTTGCGCTTTTTAGCACAGGAGCCAGCTTCAAGTGTAACCTTGAGCAGCTGCAGTTTTTTACTGAATTTCCCACAGCAGAGTTTTCTGCTTGACAGACACGCATACCTGCCAGTTATTACATTCATTTTCTTCCACTTCCTATTAAAAAGCCTCGGCACAATGTGATAGCTACAAATTGTAACTTTTCTGATATTTGTAGTTCATGAATTTGACTTGTTTATTATTTCACTTGTCATTTTTTAAACGTGGATGATCTAAATCTGCCATTTATCAACCGTAGGACCTAATATAGGAGTACTGTATGGAATTAAGTCTCAAAGAAAACCTTTGAGAGTGACATAAAGCCAATTTTAATATTGAAATCTGACCCAGGTGCCATTTGTCTCTTTCCAGGGGATGGAAAACGACACAGAAGAAGGAACACTGCTGGGGACGTTCACTTACGATGAGTATGGAGAGCCAACGCAGACGTTTAAGATTCCTGTGAGTTCAAATGAGCCCATCTTAATATTTACCGCTCATTATATTTACAGAGCACGAGCAGACTACTTCTGCTTCTGTATAAAGTGTAGTAATCATAAGTGTTTGTTGCATGCTCTCCCTTACACTTAGATTTTGTTGTTTAACTTTCTTTCCTATCTTTTCTTTTCTTCTCCGCCTCACACAGAATCCGAGCGACATGGTTTACAGAGTCGTGGAGCTGAGAGTTCTCAGTAACTGGGGTCACGTCGAGTATACGTGTCTTTACCGTTTCCGTGTGCACGGAAAGATCGCCACCACGTGAGGCTTCAGACTCACTCGGAGTGACTTGAGTGGCCAAATGCTACTGAAAAGTGTTTTAGTGTTCACACGCACAACTCTTTGTTTCAGCTGTGTTTTACTGGGGTTTTTCTAACCTCTTAATATTAAAGGATAAAAACGTGCACGATCCTTGTTGTGCAGTGCACATTTGCTTTTGCTTTGACAAAAGTCTACATGGAAGTTTAAGGTTCTGGCAACTTGCTTTCAATTATATGACTGTGCCACAAGATCCTTTTAAAGCTTTTCTTATTACAAACTATTATTATTAACAATCTTTTTTTCCTACTTTGCATGTGTACAGCGCTCCATCCCACCTGAGAGTTCTCTGGTAAAATAACATCTCTTTCCGTTTTGTTGCTGGGAAGCCACAGAGGAGTTGAGTGTTCAACACCTTGCTCAGTGGCACAGTGACAAGTCATAGAAACAGTCTCTTATTTTATTTACTTGTCCTGGTTTCTATAGTTATCAGCTTTATTCATCTTTCCATCTTAGACCAAATGAGTCTCAGTATTTTATGTTTTTACAATTAAAACAGAAAATAATCTAGTTTGTCTAGCGCTCAGTCACATATGTTGCCTGATACCTGAACAGGTTGAAAACACTGTTTTGTTTTGTTTTGTTTTGTTTTGTTTTGTTTTGTTTTGTTTTGTTTTGTTTTGTTTTGTTTTGTTTTGTTTTGTTTTGTTTTGTTTTGTGCTTCTTCTTTTTGTTATTTGGTGGAAATACACAGAGGGCAGCAGTGAATGTTTTCTAATCAGCAGTGCTTGATGTTCTTAAAGGAAAATGTAATTTCATATCACTATGAAAGGTAAAATATGCAGCTTGGTAACATTTCCTTTCAGCACGTTTTGACACATCAGTGTGGATTTTCCTTCTGGTACTTGAATACTTGAAAAGCTGTTTTTCTAACCTCTTTGACAGACGTCGTGTTGAAGCCATGACAGCTTTGTTTTTTACTCTGTACATAATGCTTACATTTGTATGAAATGTTTAACCAGGATAGAAAAAAGTGCTATTTATGCATAAAACAGAAATTCTTTTACAAATTCTTTTTGCTCCGTCCATTTTGTAGGACCAGCTCGAGAATCATTTTGAATTATTGTCAATTATTATGTCAGATCTTTGGATTGTGTCATTCAAAACCCAGAAAACACAATTTCACACAATGACAGAATTTTTGTTTTTATTTGTTGTACATTTAGACAGAAGATGAGAGAAAGTATCATTTACAGAATGACATGAAATGTTCTTCCTGATTTCAAGCAGTTCAGATTTGGATAACTTAACAAAGGGTCAGGTTTTCAGAAGTATTATTATTGTTTGTGTTTTGTCTATTTAATAGATGCTGATATATACAAGTTGTTAAACAAAGGAGACACAGTGTCATTAACACATGTTTTCAAAAAGTAATGTTAAAGTGAAATGAAGATATATTTTTGCATTGATGGCTGTTTTATAAATGATTGTTTACATTCCTAAAAAGCTTAATAACCACTCTCCTGGTGTACTGCAGGCTATAGATAAACTGAACATTGTAGACAATACAATACACGCAATAATACACGCTAATGTTGTTAAATGTGTTTAACATGTTCACTTACAGTTTTCACTTTAATCCTTAAATAGCTTGATTTTGCATAACTAAACATTCCAACATGTGTCTAATAGACTCACATTTGCTGAAGCATTGTTTAAAAATGTAAGTATTGATGGGAGCCTAGAGCCTACACCTCAGAGTGTATCATTCCTCTTATTTGAACAGTGTTAAGGTTTAGGTAGATCAATCAGGTTCATTTTCTCTATCCTCAAATGTTAAATTGATCGATTGATTGACAATAAAAAACGTTTGTTTTCTATTTGGATTTTAGAAATCTCGTCTCACACGGAGCCCTAAAGTGTTCTGCAGAGTATATGACTACATTTTTGTCTGTAAGCCAAATTTGGATATTTGAGTTCTAAAATAAAACAATGCAATATGTCTTTGTTGTACTTGTTGTACATCCAGTGACGCTCATCGTGGTTATTGACAAATTTACTTCCTGTTCCTGAGTCAAAGACATGAGAGAGAAAAATGTCAGGTTTGCATTCAAGCATTTAAAGGCATAAAGCAGCTACCAGTAGATTTTTATTAAACTGCAGAAAATACCAACAACTTAGTATTATGGTTAAAAATGAATTTTTAAATATTGCTGATCACTGTGCAGGTTGCAGCTCAGCTTTTCCATCACGTTATCAGCCGCTCTGCACTCTTGCATCAGTTTTAGTCTCAGCTGATTTTGGGCAGCTGCTTCGTCCGGATGAGAAAAGTCAGAGGCTGAACAAAGCTGCTCATGGAGAGAATCCAGTAGGCCACACAGGTGACAACTGAATAGGGCTTGAAAGAAGTGGGACCAAGCTGCCTCAGCAGGTATTCTCCAATGGGGGGGAGGTAGTGGACGTTGATTATGACCAGCGCAGACAGCACTATTTTGAATGCTCGCTTTTTAACTGGGTGGACCTCTTTTCTGCTGGGCCCTGACTGGCGGAGAGACTTTAGAATCAGGGTGCTGCAGGTTGTTACGACCACAGTGGAAAAGCTTATGATTGCTAGTATCACATTCCACTTATACCCTGCAGAGACTTTGACCAGAAGGCAGCAAGCAGCAGTGATGGCACTCCCCATCAAGCATAACGACAGCCGCAGTTTGGGATCCTTGAGCCGCAGAAAGAACAGAGGATGGCAGACTGCTACGTAGCTGTCCAAACTCAAAAAGCAAAGAAAAAGCGGTCCCCCTCCCTGGTTTAAACCCCACGCCAGGAAGCTAGTGGCCTCCATTGACTGATTAAACCAAAGATTAATGCATTCACCCACGACTGTGATACAGAACAGCATATCGATTACTGCCAGGTTCAGTGTGAAGATCTCTGAGGTAGAGCAAATACCAGGTTTGCGCAACAGGAGGTAAATGACCCAAGCATTAGTTGGTAGTCCTAGTGGTGGCACAGTCACTACTGTGGGCAAGAAGTACCACAAAAATATTTCAGTCGCTGCCGTGGAGTTTCCCATGTGTCTGCGTTGAGCTCTGTCAAAAACAGAAGATATTTTACAAATTGAAATTTCAACGAAATACTAAAAATAACTAAAACACAACACTGGTACATTATTACCTTACAAAGTCTTAACAGCGTGAAATACACTGGGCACTTGCTTCAATTCCAAAAAACAAATCTTTCTACTCTAGACAGATAATTACTTCGACTCATCTAAACAAACACTGCTTCTTTATTTTGCATGTCACATCTTATGCCAGGTGCTGTTTTGCACACTTTGTTTCGTTTAAAGAAATGATGCAAATTCACTCTATCTGTCACGTATTTACCAGCTCTATTGTTATCATAGTTCTGTTTTCAGCTTCTCATTTGTTTAGGTGATGTGGTCTCCTGTGAGCTGAACAACAACACAGTTTGATTTAACCCACCGTTTGCTGAAATCTATTAACAAATAATCCTGATTAATTAGTAGAATCTAGACTTTTAACAGTCTTATACAGAACTGTGCAAAGTGTTGTTTATATTGTGCTATGAAAATGTGATATTGGTGCAGTAATTTATAGATATATGTGCAAAGAACTGCAACAAGCAGTATGTAAGAAAAAAATAGAATTTGTACAATTATAACAACCTTGTCAATATTTGGTATGAATGAACTCACATAAACTAAAACTACTAGTTTTGGACTGTGTGCAAACATTCTTAAAATACCATTTTTCACATGGTGAGGGAAATTTTTCACACTCATAGATAGATAGATCGATCGATCCTTTGTGCCCTCCCAGCCTCCCTATTGGTGTGATCTCTTTTGGTCAATCACTACTGGGAGAGGTAGCAGTGGTCTTGAGTGGATTGTACACTGACTGTCAGACTGTAGATGTTGAGGGCCAGCCTCTTCAGAGACGGTTTTGTTAACCTTATTTTACACTGGCGAGCATCAGTAACTGTCTTTCCGATACTGAACATTCACTTCTATTCACACTAGTGTTTCAACATAACAGTCAGATATGACGTTAGCTTCTCTGTCATTAGGAGTCGAAGGATAATGTGCAAAAAATGTGTCAACTGTACAGTTTGTACAGAGGTTGTCTAATAATTTTATGTTGGTATTACATAAAGGTAAACGATTCGCATATATGTCATATATTAGTCGAATATGTAAACATTAACAAACATATAGGATAATTAGTATAAACGAGTGTTTTTCATGGCTTTGCAGGCTCATATTCCCTAACAGCGTTACCCTTTTTAAACTTCGTACAGGCAGTTCAGTAACACCTTGCATTAGATTTCTCATTGATGCTTACCTTGCATCACCTGTTTACAGTGTACAGTTGCATCAGTGAGATGAATATTTCACTGCAGTTTTACTGTAGGTAAATTACCCATAGGAACAGACCTGGGATCAGCTTGACTTATACACCCTATGAGTCATAAATGAAAACTATGAAAGCACAAACCTAGAGAGGCAGCTTGGTGCAACTATAAGACCAATGCCTTTATAATAATGCAACAGCTGAGAATATGTTATGCAGCTACACAACTTACATATATCATGTTCACAGTACAAAATAAGGTAAGTTGTTCAACAACTACAGACCCCTGATGGCACTGCATCTAGCCTGTATTTCATTTATGTTTTATCTCTGAAGCCCATATAAGTACTTTTTAATGGACACAATAACATTTCAATCTAGCTCAGCCAAAACAGGCTGTATGTACGCTACATATCTGAGTTATCCAATCGCTGAAGCTGTCTCTGCATCACTGGCCAATCACAGCTTGACATGACATGATTTTGAAAAGACGTCGTAGATGTTCGTCCAGATTGGCCAAACACAAAAGTGACGTTAGTCCTTGTAGAGCATGTTTATAAGTGAACTGCTGGTAATTATGGGAACATCCTGCAGTAAGTGGCGAAGACCAGGACCACAAGACAAATCAAAACCTTTTAAGGTAAGATATCTTTGTGTATGTTTCATCTTTAGATTTAGGCCATAAGCAATGACATTGGGCCACTGTGTGGAATCAAATAGCAATAAGTTCCTCCATGGCTCTATTGTTTGGGTGCTAAATGTAAAATTAAAGTGTACAGCA